TATATATATATTTATTTATTTATTTATTTATTTTTTATCTCACCTGTGATCCTTCAAATTCTAACCAGTGCTTTGAGAAAGCTGTTCACAGTTTCAACAGCCCAGGCATCCAATAATGAATTTGAGAAGTTACAGAAGAGCACAAGGATGGAAAGAATTTGAGTCTTCAAATTGTTGACAGGTTGTAATAGGGAGAAGGTCAAAGCTAAACATTACTCTTATCATTTAACTCAGTGTTGTCCCCAAAGGGGCAATAACATTCCTTGGGAGTGCTGGGATGATCCAGAGGGGCTGCAAGAGCAAGTGACTGCACTTTATCTGGATTGTGGGATTCAGTACAAAAGGGTTAAATTACCAGGGGGCTTTTAAGTAATTTTGTTCTCAAAAGGGCCAAACAATTTTGGTGAACTATGAAATTAAACATTGAGTATCGCAAAGAGTGAAATTGGAGTGAATTATAATTAATTGAAACATCATAATATATACATTTTGTAGTAGTTAAAACAAGTTTATTTAAAATGGTAAATATCCTTACCACAGTAAATTATTAGAGATTAGTAAGCCGTTAAACAGAAAGGGAGCATGCACACCTGGGGGAGACAAGTGCATTCCTGTTAGTGTAAAAAAAAAAAAAAAAGAAAAACAGGGAGGACCAAGTTCCTAGCAGGGAAAAATGACTAGTAATACTTTGATGGACCCTGGAAATATGTTCCGAATAAGCCACGTTAGTTCAAGTTTCTGTACCCTCCCTGGGGAACCAGGCCATGTGTCATAGAACACTGGATCCTTGTACCCCGATCCTTCAAGGCGCACAACATTCCCGAAAGGCCATACCAGAGGGATGTGATGGGGAAAACCACATTAGATGAACTAAGCTCTGGCTCAGACACACCTGTAACCTGAAGACTGAAACTGCATGATGTGTGAAGAAGCACAAAACACCTATACCAAGAGTATTGAACTGTTAGTCCATGGACTAACATTTACTTAATACGTCCCTGCCCTGTTGGCTGTATTATTCCCATAGACTGATATTGTCAGTGAATATTATTGTAAGTTTTGCCTGACCACCAACTCATATTGTTTGTGCTAGCAGCATCCAGTCACATAAGGATTTATTCTGCACAAGTGAATAATCTATGTTTTCTGATATGTAGTTAGCCTACACTTATACAATCTTCCTCACTCACTAGTATTTTAAAATTAATACCATGGGCTAATGACACTATAAACAGAAGGTCCTTATGCTTCAGGGAAATGTTCAATGATTCTCTATCACAAATGAACAAGGATGCCTCTAAGAGACTCGAGCTTTACTTTCACACGGTAATTATTGTAAACTTGATTGTAATGCATCGAACTGCAGTATAATACATTGCTTGGTCCCTCGACTAACCTAAATTTGCTCTACGCCAGTGGTGCTCAACCTTCCTAAGGCCTCAGCCCTTTAATATAGTTCCTCATACTGTGGTGACCCCAACCATAAAATTATTTTCATTGCTACTTCATAACTATAATTTTGCTACTGTTATGAATTGGAATGTAAATATCTGATATGCAGGATGTATTTTCATTGTTACAAATTGAACATGATTAAATATAATCAAAGCATAGTGATTAATCACAAAACAATATGTAATTTTATGTTGTGAAATATTTATGTGTTTTCTGATGGTCTTAGGCGACCCCTGTGAAAGGGTCATTTGACACCCAATGGGGTCGTTGAGGTTGAGAACCACAGCTCTTGGCTAAAATATTTCTCACTAATTCCATGGCATACATTTCTTCCCTGGCTTGTAAATTTTGTTTGTAGTCTTTTCTTTCTTACTCTTTATTTTAATTTTATATTATTATTATTTTCTTCTTTCTGCTTTGCTTTTGTTTTTTATTATTTCTGTTAAAGCTCTGTTAGTCTGAGTTGACTAGAGAAACAAATACAGAGACACTCATATGTATGTAAAAGAGAGCTTTATGTCAAAGAGTAATTGTATATTAAGAAAACATCCCAGCCCAATCCAGATCAAGTCCATAAGTTCAATATTAGCCCATATGTCCAATACCAGTCAATATATTTCTCTTCAGACTCACACAACACATACAATGATGTCAAATGTAGGAAGATCACAGGCAAGTGCGTGGAAAGTCTTGTGGATCCAGTGGTGGTGGAAGCTTCTCAGTGCTGGTGTGGATCTCCATGTGGCTCCTCTAGCTCCAGGGTTCTTACTCCATCAGCATAGCTCCATGTGGCTTGTCAACAGGATATAGTGGAGAGAGCATGTTTTCCGCCTCCTGGGAAGAAGATAGGAGTTCCCAGAATCTTCAGAAGAAGACCATGCCCACACAGAGACCTCATTGGCTGTGACCTGATTGACAGGCTAGACTCCACCCCTTCACTCAAATTGCCAGGAAATTATGTAAATTTCACAAGGGCAGAAGGAGTGGATACGTAGAGACAATAACTGATGCAATGGTTTATTGGGAACGGGGTGGGGAGGCTGAGAGGAGCTGTTAGGGATAAGGGGTCTGCAGCACTTGAACACGTTCTCGGGAGTAACTTTGTGACTGTGGAAAATATTCGAGACAGACAGACAGTGAGATAGTGAATGTTAAAAAAAACTGGAAAATATTCATACATACATACAGCGAAGTATGTTGAGGTAATCTCCATTAATTATTTGAGAATTGAAATGATATTTTACCTTTGTGTGTATTATATGTGGTCTGTTTGGTCACTGTTAGCAGGTGGCATGTTGTTTTCCAATAATAAACAAATACCTATTTGTTTATTAAAAATTGATTTATCACATGGTTTTATTTTCTGATGCGTTACATTCATACCATATGCAGACAACCTGGTCTTAACTTTAAGTGTATCGCAATTCTGATAGGGTATACAGATATTTATGTAGATTAAGTAAAGGTAGTCTATACTATTGAGAGTACATGGTCACACTGCTATTATTCAGTTTAAGATTACAAACTGCTCGGTATTTCAAAGGTAATCATGCAAACTATGCTCTTGAGAAACACTTGGGGTATTTAATGCTATTTCTTTTTAAGAGTGTGTCTGGTCTTTCATGATGGTGAAGAAGCATTATTTTGTCTCATTACCAGGTGCATCTTTTGAGGAACGCCGGCGATGAAGTTACCATCACTGTTCAGTATCTCAGGGACGCACCAACATTTCTCAAGCTGCCATTAGGTAAGAAGAACTGAGAGAGATTGAAATTTATCAGAATTTCCTTTCTTTGCACCTTTTTTGACAAATGACATGATACTGGCAAGACCATGCGATACAGATTGATACCTTAGAGCCACATATTCCTAAAGCTTTCTACCCTTAAGAGCCCTAGTAGTTACACATTGGGTTACTAACTGCAAATTCAGCAGTTACTTCTAAACAACAAGCTACTCTGCTGGAGAACGATTAGGTTTTCGGCTCCTGTAAAGACTTCCCGTCTCAGACACCCACAGGGGAAGTTCTAACCTGTCCAAAAGGATAAGTATGAGTGGGCAGTGCTCCATGGCAGCAAGAGGAAAGGCATTCTACACATCAGTATATAAACAGACTTTTTATGTGGAAGTAAAAGCAGGCTGACCCTTGTTGAACAGCTGATTATATTCTTACTCATTAAGGTGAATTATTTGTGATTTTTAAATGTACTTATATATACTGTTGCACATATACATAAAAACAAAGTTTTATTTATATCATCCAAGAGAAATTTTTTAAATTATACACCAAATGAACTCTTTACTACGAATTACCTCCCATATTTTATTTCAGAGTTTTGAAATTATTTTTTGTACTGGAGTAATGATCCAGTTTCAAAATTGTAAAGCAAATCCAATTCTATGAAATTTTTCTTTAAAAACTTTATTATGATTTTAAAAACTGCGTTGCCATTGTTCCAAGTCACAGTGACCCAATGCACAGCGTAAGAGGAAACACTGCCAAGTCCACTGCCATTCTCAAAATTCATGCCAGGTTTCAGCCTATTGTGGCAGCCTCTGTGTCGACCAATCTCCTGGAATCGCTTCCTCCTTTTACTCACTTTTCCATACCAGCCAAGATGTGCTTTTCCAAGGACTGGTCTCTCCCAAAAGCATGTCCATGTACATAAGAGGAACTCTGATAGCTGTACTTCTGCCAAGACAGACGGCTTCTTTCTTCTTCCATCACTAACAGTACTTGTATATTCAGTATTCTTCATCAACACCATGGTTCAAAGATATCTTTTTTGGTTGAATGCTTTTTGGGTTTTTCCCCAAAGATCATTTTATTGGAGACTCTTACAGCTCTTAGATCAATCCATACATCAATTGTATCAAGCATATTTGTACATATGTTCCATCATCATTTTCAAAACATTTACTTTCAATTTGAGCCCTTGGTATCAGCTGAGATTCTAGATATAGAACTCTTTCTTTTTTAAAAAAATCATTTTATTAGGGGCTCATACACCTCTTATCAAAATCCATACATACATCAATTTTGTAAATCACATTTGTACATTCATTGCCCTCATCATTCTCAAAACATTTGCTCTCCACTTAAGCCCCCCGCATCAGGTCCTCATTTCCCCCTCTCCCCCCTCCCTCATGAGCCCTTGATAATTTATAAATTGTTTATTTTGTCATGTCCTGCCCTGTCTGACATCTCCCTTTAATCACTTTTCTGTTGTCCGTTCCCCAGGGAGGAGGTCACATATAATTGGTTCCCTCGAATGTTTTGTTGTATATATTTTTGAAAAAAAATTACATGAAAACAATGAGTATGGAGGAAAAAAATGTTGTAAATAGATTGTGGTAAGGATTGTACAACTCTAGAAGGATATATCTGATCAGAGCACACGGGAGCAGATGAAGGGGGAGGAGAAGAGAGTGGAGCACATCCTGGCCCACCAGGCCTTGAGGACGATGTTCCTGCTCAGTGCATCCAGTCCACAGAGAGGACCACATGGCTGGCCCCACTATGAGGCATGATGTCCCTCACTGAGCCATAGCCCTACAGGGGACAACACTAGACACAGTGTGGGAATTGCGCCCGATCTGATCCCACCACACCGAGGCAAAACACTAAGGGGGTACAACAGAACAGCAAGGGATTGGAGTTGCAAGGGCCCCAGGGAATGACGAAGGTGGACTTTGGGGCCAGGGCTTGGTGCCCCTACAGACTAGACTGGAAAACACTCCTAAAGGCCAACAAACAATCCACAAACTAACTACAAGCTTTTCTTTTTTGTTATGTTTTTTTTGTTTTTTTGTCATTGTTTTGTTGTATATTGTTGGTTGGTTTTGCTTTGTTTTGCTTTTGTGCATGTTATTATATCTGAAGGTCTTTCTAAATAAAATAGGCTGGATGAACAATCTGGAGTAGAAAACAACGGGACCGACAGTTCCGGGGGACATGGGAGAGGGGGAGGTGAAGGGAAAGATAGTGGTGTTAACAAACCCAGGGACAAGGGAACAACAAGTGATCCAAATCGGTGGTGAGGAGGGTGTAGGAGGCCTGGTAGTGCGTGATCAAGGGTTATGTAACCAAGAGGAATTACTGAAACCCAAATGAAGGCTGAACATGGTAGTGGGACAAGAGGAAAGCCAAAGGAAATAGAGGAATGAGCTAGACGGCAAAGGGCATTTATATAGGTCTAAATAAAGGCATGTACATATGTAAATATATTTATATATGAGGATGGGTAAATAGATCTACGTGCATATATTAATAGGTTTAGTATTAAGGTAGCAGATGGAAATTGGGCCTCCACTCAAGTACTCCCTCATTCCAAGAATACTTTGTTCTATTGGCATTCTATGATGCTCACCTTCCCAACACAATCGCTGAAGACAAAGCAGGTGCATAAGCAAATGTGGTGAAGAAAGCTGATGGTGCCCGGCTATCAAAAGATATAGCGTCTGAGGTCTTTAAAGCTTGAAGGTAAACAAGTGGCCGTCTAGCACAGAAGCAACCAAGCCCACATGGAAGAAGTACACCAGCATGTGTGATCATGAAGTGTTGAAGGGATCAGGTATCAGGCATTATCAGAACAAAAAATCATATCATTGTGAATGAGATGGGGAGTGTGGAGTGGGGACCCAAAGCCCATTTGTAGGCCACTGGACATCCCTTTACAGATGGGTCTTGGGGAGGAGATGAGCCAGTCAGGGTGCAATGTAGCAACGATGAAAAATACAACTTTCCTCTAGTTCCTAAAAGCTTCCTCCCCACCCACTATCATGATCCCAATTCTACGTTACAAATCTGGCTAGACCAGAGGATGTACACTGGTAGAGATAGGAACTGGAAACACAGGGAAACCAGGGTGGATGACCCCTTCAGGAACGGTGGTGTGAGTGTCCATACTAGGAGGGTGGGAGGAGGGTGGGTTGGAAAGGGGGAACCAATTACAAGGATCTACTTATAGCCTCCTCCCTGGGGGACAGACAATAGAAAAGTGGGTGAAGGGAGACACTGGACTGTGCAAGATATGACAAAATAATAATTTGTAAATTATCACGGGTTCATGAGGGCGAGGGGTGTGGGGAGGGTGGGTAAATGAGGAGCTGATGCCAGGGGCTTGGGTAGAGAGCAGATGTTTTGAGAATGATGAGGGCAAAGAATGTACAAATGTGCTTTACACAATTGATGTATGTATGGATTTTGATGAGAGTTGTATGAGCCCCTAATGAAACAATTAATTAAAAAAATTAAAACTAAAAAAAGGATTGTATAACTCTTCTTGATATGTATGAATTATTGAATTGTATGATATGTGGATAAAGTTCTAATAAAACTGATTTAAAATTTATCCATTCTTTTTCATTCTTCCTTGTTCATTGTTCAACTTTCACATGTTTCTGAGGTAATTATAAATATTATGATTTGAGACAAATGCACCTTAGTCTTCAAAGTGATGTCGCTAACTCTTCAAGACATTAGACAGGTCTTTTGCAGCAAATTTGTTCAGGACAATACTTTTTCTGATCCATGACTACTAACTACTCTTACGATCAATGCCTGTGAACCCAGTCAGTAAAAATGAAATCATTGATAACATTGATGTTTTCTTCATCTGCCATACTATCTTTTGGTCTGGTTGTGAGGATTCTGGTAAAATTTACATTGACTTATAATTCATACTGAAGGCTGCAGTTCTTGATCTTCATCATCAATTGATTCCAGTTTACCTCACTTTTAGCAAGCAAGATTCTGGTACCTGAAAATTGCAGATTGTTAATTAGCCTTCTTCTAAGCCTCCTGCCAATGTCTTCTTCATATTGTCCAGCTTCTCAGAGTATTTGCTCATCAGACAGGTGACATGGGTATAATGAGAGGATACATCCATGTGTTAGTCGGGGTTGAGTAGAGAAACAAATCCAGAGAAACCCATGTGTAAAAAAAAAAAGCTTCATATAACGAGTAATTGTATATATATATATTTTTAATCAATTTATTGGGGCTCATACAATTAATCACAATACATAGATCAATTGTGTAAAGCACATCTGTACATTTGTTGCCTTCATCATTCCCAAAATTCACTTTCCTCTTGGGTTCCCAGAATCAGCTCATTTTCCTTTTTTCCCCTTCCCCTCCCTTCCCCCTCCCCCCTCTCCCATGAACCCTTGATAATTTATAAATTATTATTATTTTGTCATATCTTACACCATCTGATGTCTCCCTTCAATCACTCTTTGGCAGATAACTTCCTTTTTTTTTTTTTTTTTTTTAATCAATTTATTGGGGCTCATACAATTAATCACAATACATAGATCAATTGTGTAAAGCACATCTGTACATTTGTTGCCTTCATCATTCCCAAAATTCACTTTCCTCTTGGGTTCCCAGAATCAGCTCATTTTCCTTTTTTCCCCTTCCCCTCCCTTCCCCCTCCCCCCTCTCCCATGAACCCTTGATAATTTATAAATTATTATTATATCTTATATTACACTGCCAAGCATCTCCCTTCACCTACCCCTCTGCTGCCCATTTCCCCAGAGAGGAGGTTATATGTAGCTCCCTGTGATCAATTCCCCCTTTCTACACCCCCCTTCCCTCCTGGTATCGCCACTGTCACCCCTGGTCCTGAGAGGTTCATCTGTCCTAGATTCCCTAGATTTCCAATTCCCATCTCTACCGCTGTGCATCCTCTGGTCTAACCAGGTTTGCAAGGCAGACTTGGGGTCATGGTATTTGGGGGG